CTGCCCCAGGCAGCCTCCGGGGCTCCCTCCCCCTGGTCCCAGACCACGCTAGGGTCAGGGGCAGCCACATCCTCCCCCAGCCCTTCCTGCCACAGCCACTGCTCTGGCCTGTGTCCCCTGGGGCTGGACAGCGGCTGCCGCCGGGCCTGGGGGCAGGGGCCGATGAGGATTTTGCGGGGCCCAAGGCAGCACAATTTCGCGGGGGCCCCCCCTTTGCCACGGCGCATGCGCAGGGCTTCTTGAAGCACAGGTCCCCGGGGCGGCCGCCCCGCTCACCCTGCCCTATATCCGCCCCTGCCTGGGGGACACACACAGCTCAGCCTGGAGCCTGCTGGAGGCTAGGGTCCTACGGGCTCTGATAGCTGGGCAGGGGAGCCATGGTGCTGTAGAGACCCACTGACACACACACACAGAGAGCAGGGACAGGCATACACACTGTATAACAGCACACAGTGTATAGCAACACATACACAAATACACACACAGTGTATAACAATACAGGCATACACACTGTATAGCCACACACACAGTTTATAACAATACAGACACACACAGTGTATAACAGGCACCACACACACACTGTATAGCGACACAGATACACACACTGTAGAACAACACACACAGTGTAAGCAACACATACACACACACACACATTGTATAGCAAAACACACACAGAGAGTTTATAATAACAGACACACACACAGGACTGACACACACATACTATATATAAGACTATGTAGCACTTTAAACACTAACAAGATGGTTTCTAAAATGCTACATAGTCCTGCATTTTGCTTCAGCTACACCAGACTAACACGGCTACATTTCTATTACTATACTATATATAGTGACAGATACACCCTGGACATAGCAACACACAGGAAGTCATGAACACACAGACACACAATAGAGCCCTGGTGTCCAACCTGCTCGGAAGGACCCATATGGCGAAGTAGCCACACTCACCTGGCCAAACAGCCACATGTGACTAGCGGGTTGGATAGTGACACACACAGAAGGGCTCATCCTGTCCACCAGAGGGCAGTGGAGCGACACCGACAATAGAGCCCGTCCCCTCCAGCAGGTGGCACAGGGACACGCGCTCTCTCTCTCTTTCTCTCTCTCTACTTTGGATACTTCCAACAATTTTTCCTGTCTCGAATCCAGCCGACAAATCAAACTGCCCCCCAAATTCATGATCTGCCCCCCCCCCGGATGTTTCTTTCCCCCCATTAACTGAACCATATTGCTTAAAAAATTGCTGGGCAAGGGGAGGGGCCGAGACTCCCCCAAGTGCATGAGGCTGCTGCCCCCCGATTCATCCCCCCTTGGGGTCACCTTATCTCCTGCCTGAATGTGTCTCACACCAGGCTGGGCTGCGTTAGGCCTTCCCCTGCCCCATGGGAGCCCCGTTAGTTGTTAGGGCCAGGCAGACGGGCGCCACTCTCCCCTCACCAAGCTCTGGTCCTGGCGGATGAAAACAGTTTGGGAACCAGGGTGCGACGGAGCCGGAGGGCCGGAGTGTCTGGCTCCGAGGCAGGTTTCTGACCTTTTCATCCTCCTCTCGCTCTTCTCCCGGCCTCCCCACCTGACCAACGTCCTCCTGGAACTGTGGGCCAGCAGTGTTGCCCCGGGGCTGCACCTGGAGGGGACGTCCCCTCCCGCAGGTCTGGCCCCGCTGGGAACCCCTCCCCTGCGTCCGGCCGGCCTGGGCTCTGGCCCTGCCAGAGGCTCCCGCGTTTCCCTGCCACCGGGCAGCTGGGAACTGCCCTGACTCACTGGTTTCTAGCTGACCAAAAAAAGCAGCCATGTAGCACTTTACAAACTAACAAGATGGTTTATTAGGTGATGAGCTTCCGTGGGCCAGACCCACTTCCTCAGATGCAAAAGCTCATCACCTAATAAACCATCTGGTTAGTCTTTAAAGTGCTACGTGACTGTTTGTTTCGTTGGACTGAGATCAGCCCAACACGGCTACCTCGCTATTGGTGTCTAGCTGGGTTGTTGTCCTGGCTTGGGGCTTTGCTAGCGACTGTTTGTGTTTCCACGGGCAGAGGCAGGGCTGGGCCAGTCCCCATCGCCCCTTGGGGCCAGGATGTGGCCTGTGGGCCCCAACAACACCCCATAACTCCCCAAACACAGCCCTCCAACAACACCCCATAACTCCCCCAACAACACCCCATAACTCCCCAAACACAGCCCTCCAACAACACCCCATAACTCCCCCAACAACACCCCATAACTCCCCAAACACAGCCCTCCAACAACACCCCATAACTCCCCCAACAACACCCCATAACTCCCCAAACACAGCCCTCCAACAACACCCCATAACTCCCCCAACAACACCCCATAACTCCCCAAACACAGCCCTCCAACAACACCCCATAACTCCCCCAACAACACCCCATAACTCCCCAAACACAGCCCTCCAACAACACCCCATAACTCCCCCAACAACACCCCATAACTCCCCAAACACAGCCCTCCAACAACACCCCATAACTCCCCCAACAACACCCCATAACTCCCCAAACACAGCCCCCCAACAACACCCCAGAACTCCCCACACACAGCCCCCCAACAACACCCCATAACTCCCCCAACAACACCCCATAACTCCCCAAACACAGCCCTCCAACAACACCCCATAACTCCCCCAACAACACCCCATAACTCCCCAAACACAGCCCTCCAACAACACCCCATAACTCCCCCAACAACACCCCATAACTCCCCAAACACAGGGACCCATATGGACCACGCGACTCCCCCAACAACACCCCATAACTCCCCAAACACAGCCCCTCCCTCCCAGGGCAGCCGGGTGCCAGGACAGAGAGTGGGGTGGGGGGCAGGGCTGCTCCCAGCACCAGCCTCCCCCTTTCTGGCACCTCCCAGCAGCACCAGGCTCCTTGCAGCCTCGGGGCACCGGCAGAGACGCGCTGAGCCGGCCGAGGAGACTCAGAGACAAGGTAAGAGACCCGCCGGGCTGTCCCCCTCCCTCTCCCTGTCTGTCCCTGAACCCCGGCA